GATCATTAGTTGTATCGTTCAACGCGAAACGACAATCAGTTCCCAACATCCATATAGATTTGCACCGACATCGATGTATCATTTCAAGCCCCGTTGATAAACTCTGACAACTTTAATAATCATGTCCCGCGGAACAGTAATCGATCAAGGTAAAGCAAAATGAAATCAGACATCTGGTAAAACTGTCTAACAGTTGGGGGAAAAATTAATGCGAACGCAATAAATGAAATTTCTACACGTGGATCGCAGGCTGACTTCTGGAGCACCCCCGCCCAGATTTTACGAGATCATTATTTCAATTCCTCGAGCATGTTGAGACTAACACGGTGTCTACCCGGGCGCTGACACCATAAACATTTTTATTGGCGGGGGATGGGGATCCAAATGACGCTCTTTATGAAAGATATAAACACGAGAAAATGGACTAGGGTTCGGTGGACCCTAGCATTTTAGCATCAGAGGGTTCCCTCTCGCGTTTGATAAGAGAAATAGAGACATAGCTTTTCCGTTTTCGTGGCATTTTGGGGATCAAAGAATTAAGGACGATACGAGTTAATGTATTAATAGAAGAAGTTCCAAAGATTGGTCCATTTTTTGACCCCCAAAGCACGAAGGGGTGAACTCCCCTAACCGTCGCTACTACTTTCTGCAAGTAATTTCTTTACCCGTACGTTACAGTATTGTACCTGTTGAGCGTGTCGTTAGGAGCGACGAGTTGTAAATTCTTCCGACGTTGTATCGCGAGTGTGGCACGGGTACACAATCTCTATTATAACTTGATATAATGGGGCCGCATCGAAAATTAAATTACTCTTCCAAGATGAAACTTTGCACTGTTGGATGATTTGGTACGACGCGAAGGCAATTACAAAATAGTCCGCCATTTGTTAAGACGCTGGGTTTTAAGTTTTAAAAGCACCTTCTATGCAACTGTGGTGATCGATATATTTTAGAAAAATAATCTACCTTATATAGAACTAACGCGTACATATTCCTTTATAATATCGCGTTATTAATATTTCTGAAATGTTCGCTTTACTGCAACGGGATCGTTTGACACTCGAAAATTTCGGTCCGATAAAAATGTTTCATTTTATTAACACTACGACGGTATTTCCGCTCCGATAACAGTATAAGAGTGATTAATTTTTAAAGCTCAGTGGGAAACCAATATTCGTTCAAAACTCAAATATAATATCATCGTCTAACGGTAATAAAAGTAATTGATAGCGGAATCGTTGGCAAACAAAGGGTAGGTTTCTGAGAGATTAAGTGATTTGTGTAACCGGTTGAAAGCCGATCGAGCTTCGCGTTCGAAAGGAACGACGAATAACACAATCGTATCGTACAAATATTATTCGCGAGGAGAACAAATTTTTTAAAATTCATTTCGTTTGCTTCGCAACGGGGAATCCCTCCATTTCGATCGCGCCGCGAAGATACATTTCCATCTACTGTGCTATGAAGAGCAACGAGGGTTTAAAAGGTCTCGAAATCGAATGAAAGTAAGCCAGGCATTCGAAACGAATTAAATAATTTGTACAAATTGGCGAGCTACGGGATAGGGTTGCAAGAACGTTGCGGAAAGAACGACGGATCGCGGGGCGAACGAGGCACTTCATTCGCACAGTAAATGTTCGAACGATCAAGATTTCGCCCCGCGGTGAGAGACGCAGACAGAGAGGAAGAAAGACGGGGGTGGAAGAAAGGACGGTTGCGCGGGAGGGGGGTTGGGCGGAGGGTTCGCGAGTCTGGTGGAAGGCCAATATATAGGTGCTCGCACCGGTGGAATTGTAGCTCGTTTCGGAGGTTCACGCCCGAAGAACGGGGTTAATGACAAGCCCGCTCTCGAGAGCGTTTCGAAATCGATTCGTGTTCGATGAGAATGCGCTGATTCGAAACGGAAAACTTGGAACTAACGGGGTATGTGCCCCTTTGAGCGAGGGGACGGAAGCAACGTTATTGCGCGACGCTCGGCTCTTCCAATCGGGAGAGAAAGAGAAAGAGAGAGAGAGAGAGAGAGAGAGACGGAGTTTGTAGCAACGGAAAAATTATCGATATCGAACGAGAGGGTCTTGTTCGACTCGACTAGCTCGTTCAATTAGCGGTTATTTATTTATACCCCGACAGGGTTATCGATAAAAGACATTTTCATTTACACAAGGCCGAGGCACGTAAGACAGGCCATCCGAATAACTCGTTCATTTTTAGCGACAGACAAAAATGCTTCAAAGGAATGTTATTTGAATTTTTGGTAGACGAACTTTCTTAAATGTACGATAGTTATAAATCTTTCTATTCAATGTCCTCGACTTACGTTTCGTAATAATCGTCGAAAAAGACTTAAGAAAGTTTAAGTTACATTAGAAGTACCATGAATTACACATTGGTCTTCCGCGATATACTTTGTAGAGAAAGTTCAAGTCGTATTAATTTATTTGAAAGCTTGTTATAACGATATAAGACATCTCCGAGCTCTTCCACTTTGTAACTTTTACAACTCCTTTCGGATTGCAATCACTTTCTGCAAGTTCGTATTATTATCTATCTTTGTTTTCCACATACGTGTATGATTTATCGAGCTTAATATTTTGGGACTATACCTCGAACGAAAAAAATGACATCGAATTATTGCGACAGCCCTATTTATTTACACCCTGTCCATCAGTTTCGTGGCAATTTACGGTTACTGGATGACTGAATCGATAAATTGAGTTAAATAACGAGCCTCGTTTGAAGGATAATTGTCGATTAATATTCAGGGGTTAATTGTTGACGCGTTCGCTTCTGCAGTCGCCCTCACGGGATAAACTCGTTCTGAATATCGACGGCCTTTATTTCATTGTCAGCGAACAACTTTGCGAGTGCATTAACCGTGAAATTAATATGCATTCTTAAGTATTTTAATTTGCGAACATTTCACCGTTGTTGGATAGAGAAACCCCGAGAGTAATTTACTGGCGCGAGGGGTGAAGTGCGTCACGACTGAGAAAGAAACTCTTCGTACTAAAATTAGTGTTTCGTGAAAACTAGGTACACTATTAAATGCGTTTCGAGCATTTTTAAATCGAACATTTCGTCGAAGAACACAGGGAGTGATTTGTAATTAGCTGTTGCGGAGGGTGAAACTTATCGCGGAGTATAAAAGGAACTCTAATTGCCTAAATTAGGGTCTCAGGAACACTCGACGTACTTCTAAATGCGAACTCCAAATATAAGTGTTTTTAAATCAAAGATCTTTCGTAGCACTTCGACAGAGAAATCTCGAGAGTAATTTAAAATTGGCTGAAGTGGAGGGTGAAACGTAGCTCCTGTTCTAAAAAAGCTGTTGATTCCGAAATTAGCGTTTTAGATAAATTCTATGCACTCCTGAATATATAGATTGAAAATAAATATTCTTGGAATTTCTTAACCGTAAAACTTTCGTAGAAGTTCGACATGGAAACCTCGAGAGTAATTTGTAATTGAAGTGGAGGGTGAAACGCAAAGCGAGCGTAAAAGAAACTGTTGACCCAGAAATTAGTGTTTTGGAAAATCCTTCTACGTACCTCGACGCAAAGTTACAAAAATAAGCATTTTTTAAGAACATTTCGCAGCAGTTCCGCGAGAGTGAACTGTAATTGGCTGACGTAGATTAATATTTCTAAGTTTACTTAATTAACTTATTACTACCGCAGAATACAAAATAGGTCGCTAACGTCAATGAAATATAAATATTACTTTACGGAGACGATGCAATATTGCAAACGCGGGAAATTTAATTGTGAAATATCGTTTCAGGTGGATCTAGCGCAAAAGACACGATTGTAACTTCGATTACGTTCGACGAAACGACGCTGACAGCCATTTAAAGTTATCGCGGTGTCGGATTCAGGCGATTTCTATCGAATGAAAAGTGGAATCACAAATGTACCGGACGATTCGATTTTATGACGAAAAATCAGAGTGCTTTATTATCGAACAATTGTACCTAGGAACCGGCGGGAGTCTTCGGAGAAATCAAGTTTCCGATAAATAGAAAATTCACCGCAACTTCTGCGGGTCACCGACACCCGGGCGCTTGCACAGCGAAGAGTGAAACCTCGAACGAGGAGGGAACCACAAGTGGAAGTGCACCCTTTTAACCCTTCGCGGTCGTGATTATTTTCCAACCAACTATCGCGCCCGGGATTGTGTCCGCAACGATCGACGGTACACGTAGATTGACAAATTTTATTTAACCTCTTTCGGTTCGAGTGTAAACACCCACGCGATGGACACTTACACCGACGTAACCTGTGCGCGCGAATTTGTTTTTTTTTCATTCGTAACGTTTCTTCGTTAACAAAATCAACACAGGGACAGAAATATAAACCGTTCAGCGTTTCGACCGCACACTTTTCACATCGAATCACGAAACTTTTTCCCGTTTTTATTCCCATAACCGATTTACGCCCGGAGAACTTAATCACAAATATTTTGTACAGACCTTGCTATCATCTCCCTTCCACTTTCACTTTCAGGATCCTAGGTTCCTATTTTTGTTCACTCTTTAAAAAGCAAAAGATCGACGATGAGATGATGTAATTTACGTTTACGCGAACTAGAGATAACCTCAGAAACGTAGGTTATCGTCTCATGGTCGTTCGTAGCTTGGCAAACATCGGTGCAGGAAAGAAGACGAACAAACAGGCTCTAAAATTGGAGCGAATCGAGTTGACCGTTTCGTTGCCGCCGAGAAACGAACAAAATCTATCTTCGTTGCAACTCGCGATGAAACGTGGAGTTTGTACGATCAGATACGATCCGGACAATGCACGGGGAGTAACACGTGCTCTAAACTATTACTCCGCTTCCGATAACGTCTGCTGGTCGTATCAGAAATTACTATTTATTAGTTTCTAATAAGAGAAAATTCATGAACATATGACTTTTCCTCGATCTCTATTCTTACTCATCACACCGATTACCGCGGTTACAGCGTGACGGCCGGGTGTTTGATCAAGGAAGGCATCTCTTACCGGATGTGGCGTCGCGGCAGGGGCGGCGGTACCGGGCTGCGAAAGTTCTCCATCATCGTGTAGGAGTCGTGGTCGGCGGACTTGTGCTCCAACGCCTCCAGATGATCCAGCCGCAGGAGTTCCGGCTCGCGGGGCGAGTGGAGTTCACAATGGGCCACGTGAAGCAACGGCCTCAGCGACGAACCGCCTTCGCATCGTTGCTGCCGCGAAGGCGGCCTCGCCACCTGCCGATCTACACCATCCGACGCGTGCTGTTCGTCGCCCCAGACCTCGAACTCGCCCGCGGCCGAGTAGTCGCCGAAACCACCGTTACCCTTCACCGTTGCACACTTCCTCCTACGATCGTCGAGCAGCCCGGGCCACGCGGAGCCCCGCTCCTCGTTCTGTCTGCCCTCTTTCCGTTTGTATTTCACCAGGTACTGCCTCTTGGTAGACAGCGACAACGACAGGCTGCCTCGCTCGCTGGCGCGACGGGGCGTCAGATTTCCAGCGGATGAACCACGGGCCGCATAGAAATCCTCCGCGGAGTTCGGCAGAATTTCACCCTTTTAGGACGTCAGCATGTCAGGCTCAGAGTCGCTGGGTCTGCCGGCGTTCGCGCGAACCTCGTTGCACAGGCTCCTCGAACGCTCCGAGTCAGGTTGATTCCGACGTCTCGAGGACGAGTCACAGCATGTCACTGACGGACGAACTTGGCGACCGTGGGTTTCGGTGGATTCCAGTAAAAATCAGTGCATCGCCTCGAGGCAGAGTATCCAGAGGACAGGTCGCTTTGGGACGATTCGCAGTCTCGTAACTTAAGGTCGAGGTAAACGCATTCCGCGTCCTCGAAAAGTGTCCGTGGGGCCGCGCGCGTACCGCTAGCCGCCGGCTACGAAAGGGGAAACTCGCGTACGCAAACTTTGTTATCGATCTGTCAACGCCAGCGAGAAAGTTCAACTCCCGGCCCGCGAGCGATGCTCCTACGCGCTATACTTGTCCTCCTGTATCCCTTCGCGCGTCCGGTCAGCCGTTTGCTTCTTCCACGTATCCCTTTCACTGCACTACGCGAGAACACTTTGGACGACTCGGGTGGATCTAGCACGGTTCACTGTTAACACCGATACCGCTCGACGGATCCGTTCTCGACGGAGGCAATTCGTCCCGCGGCCGATAACTAGCTGTTGGACGTCCGCACGGTGCGCAGACACTCGCCGTCAGTCGGCGGGCACCGAAAACTAATTGGGTCAGGGGGCCGAGAACCGCACGCAAATCCGTGCTGGTGGAGCGTGAGCAGCGTGGGCTCCGAAAATCCCCAGGGGTGCACGCGAGGAGACCGTGTCCTGGCCTGACAGTTCCGAACCGTGCCGAACTCCGTTCGTGGATCGGCTCGGTGGCGACAATTTTCAAAACTGTCCCCCCGGCGAACGAGTTACTTCGCAATCTAACCCCCTGCTGGAGGGATCTTTCGCGGCGTACGGCACCCGAACGTAAAAAGAGGTTACTGCACCACCGTGGTTTCCCCTCTTTCGCGCACCGGCCAGTGGAAACGATCTCGTAGTCTCGTCTCGAGTACGCTCGAGGGCAACGCACACAACCTCTCCAGCTGCGGATCAAAGACTGAAGGGCCACGGCGCCGCAACGCCCGGCACCGAGTGACACTGAACGTCCCCTCCACGGTACCAAGTTCCGCGCATGTGCACCACCGTTCTCAACCTTCCCCACCCCATCGCCCCAGCCTCCGCGCGACGACCCCTTGGAATAGAACGCCGCTGAGCGGGTGGTGCGTGCACTAAACCCGTCGAGGCGACGACCGTCGCGACGGCATCGCGACTACGCGATCTACAGGGTGTCGATACCGAGAGATCCGGGGGCCGAGACGAACCTTGCAAGCTTTGTCCTTTCACTCCTTTCCTGATATCTATTCGATATTTTTTATGGGGGAGGCGGGGGTTTCGGTTTACTTAGCTCGCGTGTGCCTCGCCGTTTGACTGGTAGAAGATCGAGTTTGGTATCAACAAGTGTTTTTGACAAGGTACTTTGACTCGTGGGTTGTTGCCGCGTTTGCCGTTCTTCCCCAAAAATCTCTATAATTTTATTAAACCTCAGATGGTCTCTGAACCGGATAAATGTCGTTTTTCGTTTCAGCTAAAGTTGATTTAGCGGTGCAAACTCGCGGTGTACGTAAATGTTTGACTTTTGGATTGGTTTAAGGTGCTCGTGGTACACTTTGACATCAACAAGTTAGGTGGATGGCGCTGGGTCAATAGGAGGAGTAGACGTTGAACAGGTTGATCTATTTTCTACTTGTTAGAATCTTTCGTTGCTGGAAACGGAGTACATTTTTCGGCATAACTAGGAGGACTTTCATCCTTTTGGTTTTTGATTGCTTTGAAGGCTAAAGTTTGATATCAACAAGTTAGGTGGAAACGATGATGGTGTCGATAAGACACGGTGCTTTGTATAATAATTCAGCTCGTGAAACAAGTGTCGAAAAGTTAAAATTTTTTTGTTCTAACGAATAAAGAGTGAACGCTTTTAACAGACGATATTTAACGAGGATTGAACTGATTTATTAAGATTGGATATCTCTGATTTCGCGAGAATTAACTTGATTAAGTGATATTAATCGTCCAACGTGAAATATAATTTAATTGTACGACTCGGATGATAATTTTTATCGAACGAATAAGGGATTAGAAACTGTTTATCTTTTATACGCCGTTCAAAACTTTGTATCCAGATGAAAATTTTGCCCATCTACGGTACATGGATGTTTGAGTTTCGAATTGGTTTAAGGGATTCATTACAGACGTTGACATCGAAAGTTAGATAACGGGGCCAATATGAGACGTGCTCCGATGTAATGTATGTGTATAGTGATTTCGGACATTAACATTTCTGTAAACTTTCCAGTATAATGGGTTCGAAACATTAGGGAGGTAGATTGGTTTCGCGCGACGTGCGTTGGAAAGTTTGATCCCTTTTGTTTTTGTTGGCATCGAGTCGATATTTTCAACGGTGGATATTAAACGAGCATTTCAGACCCATCGGTGATCCATAGATATACCGTGCAAAGATATTCGAACGTTCGAAAGGATAAAAGATTGGATTTGATATCGACAAGATTTTGTTCGATATTATTCGTGAATAGTAAAATTCGATCGAAACAGAGGTTTAGAAACCATATCGGTAGCGTACGACTTCCAGATGATTAAAATTCAATCCGATAGCTCGCAACTCCATAATTAATTACGAAATTATATCCATTACACATGCGGTGGCACGTTATGTACATGATATAGCCACCAGAGGGCTTCCCCACCGATCCCTTTCCCGCAAGTTCTCCATCTACCACCGTACTCCTATATGCATTCCTCGACTGACCACTGAATGTTCCGATCCCGGTATCAGTTTACTATAATTAGACCAAATTCAGTGGAAAGTATGGTGATCGATGGGAACGAGCGGCGTCAAATGGAACCGATTCGAAGCAATCGATCGCGCGACTGTAACACGACTCTTCTCTCAACCGAATCCCCGTGCATTTCGAGTACATTAACAACGGCGTAATTCCATCGAGCGTTTAACATGAGAGAGCCAATTATTTTTCCTGTTCCATCCCGAGATTGTTGCAACGAAAGTCAATCAGTCTGAAACGTTTGGCTTTATTTCAACGAACGAGGGGGGGCGGGTAAATGGTGTTGTAACAGTATCAATTCGGAGCTCAACGTCCACCGTGCGATAATTGTTACAACGGCATTATTAATTACACAGTACTCGCAATTAACGCGCCTCAGGCTTCGCGTTAATATTTGCCATCGCGTTCGTCGCGAGGCATCCCTACTGTCCTCCGCATTATCCGGTCTCCCGAACAAGATATCGTTTCGCAATGGGATAATTAGACGGCCACGTTTCACGGTTAAAGGGGACACAGAACATCGGGCGAACAATTTCACGAAGAAACGACTGTTTCCCCGTCTCTGAAAATCGGTTGCCACGGCGAGTTGTTTACGCGTCGTCTGCTCCCTTGCATTGCATCCGCGTTTTCACTCGGCGCGGCTCGAATAGTTGGGAGTCTACGCAGTTCGCGGAGTCCGTAGACCGGCTTCCAAGAATATCTTCGGACCTGCTAGACTCGAGATTTACTCCCACGTATGCTCACCGTCAATGAATCATAGTCATTCTACGCTCAAGTTCAAAATAGAAAGATCAAAGTCGAATCACTGATCCTCCGACTTCGAGTGCAACTGCACGATTTAGCAGACTCGTTTATAAATTGATTCGACACTGTTCAGCAGTATTAAAACATTGAAGTTTACAATTTAGCTGTTCCAGTCGAAATTTAATTTTCACAGAAAGGACCAAAGTTATCGTTGGTGGATCTTTTTAGCCGATAATTCTGATATTTTAAAGTCTTTGTACCAAGGATTCCTCGTCCTTTAAGCCCTCTGTGCGGATAACGATGTACATGACTTTGGGAATAACGTAGAAATGAGCGTGGACGATTAAAATGCGAAGCTCCTCGTTATAAAATCAAATTTCGGAGCTTGGAATCCAAGTTGACAAATGTGAACAATCTTTAGTAAATCTCTAGATCTGATCCCTTAAAGACTTAATCCCAAGGGTTGCGCGTTCCGTTAAGCCTCGCTGAATGTGTGGGTTAGGGTACGTTAATGACTATTGTGGGCAAAGATACAAGGTGATGAAAGTTCCTGCGGTTTGATAAAATTGGGTAGCGAATATCTTCATTGAGAAATAGTAGGGTTCTGAATATTCGTACTACGGTAAATCCAGGATTTGATACGATTTAATTAAGCTTTTTAACCAAGCAAGATCTAGAATTTCGACTCCACGTCCGACCGTGGTCAGTCGATAAATTCGTACGCTTCTCGTCGCAGGTGCTCTTCAAAAAGATCCCCATTTTGGGTATCCGTCGCCACCTAGAGCCTTGGTGAAACGCAGCCGGATGTCGAGCAACTTTAACGCCATTAATTAAATGTTCCCGCTCGCGGACTCGTAAAACTGGCGTTCCGACGATTTCGACTGTCAAAGAGCACCTTCGTCGGTTGGTTGTCGATTTAATCGCGTCGAAAGCGTCCTCTCCGACCGAGCAGAGCACGCTCGAACGCGACCGCGAATTCTGTCGAGGCCAACTCGAATTTATAATTAAATACTCGTACGTAATTTCCGTCGGCGGGCTCGGCGACGCGCGCGATCCTGGATCGCTAACCGCTACCCCGTTCCCTAGCCTCCCTTCATCTAGGCATCTTTACAGACGCGACGAGGGTTATAGAGATACTATTGACTCTCGAAGCTATTCCGGCAAGAGCCGTGCGCGCTGTTCGTGAGAGCGTTCTCCGGGAAGTTTAATTATCCCCTTCGGTACATCCTGCTGGTCGTTGATACTGACGAACAATCGCACACGCTCGCACACGCGCATACACCGGGAGACCCTGCACGCATAACCGACGGGCGAACCTAGACCAAGAGAAACCCGCCAAGAAGGGACTGGAGCGAGATGGACGGAGAAGTTGTTTTATCCGAAATCTGCCACGGCAGCCTACAACGTTTACCCTTTTAGCGGCCACGACCCCCGCTGCCACTCGCGCCGCCGCCA